CACAGTGCTTAAGTGCTGTTTTTTTAACAGTGGTCTTCTCTGTCACTCTCCAATAAAGCTCAGACTGGTGAAGAGCATGGGAAACAGTTGTTGTATGCTCAGTCTCTCCCGTCTTCACCTGCTGAAGCTTGTAACTCCTTCAGAGTGCTCACAGGTGTCTTAGTGGCCTCTTTCACTATTCTCCTTCTTTTACAGTCACTCAGTTAGTGAGAACAGCCTGCTCAGACTTTCACATGTTCTGTTACTTGAAGGTGTATTTCACTGGATTCCTTGGAATGTTTAGGGCCTTGGAAATACGTGTGTATCTATTCTGACTTGTACTTTTCAATAATCCTTTCTCTGAGTTGAGTTAGGAGCCAAATTTATATTGGCCATGATTGATTAATGATAGCAATAAAAGTGTAAAACATCCAACAGGGTGGATACTTTTTTATAGGCACAGTAATTTGTCTTGTGAGTGTGTGTATATTTACTCTGCAGCAATGCGCTGGTGTTCCTGGATCAGCCTTTGGTTCTCCTCCTTCAGTTTTTGGTTTGTCATGTGCAGAGTGTTTCCTCGTTGTAAAATGTGAATCAGCACCTCCCTCACTGCCTCCGCCGGATTTGTGACAGCCTTCAGAAGGACGCAACCCAGCCTGAACTGTTGAAGAAGAAAAAAATATATACAGTATATTATTTATTTGTCTTTTTGAGCCAGAGATCCCAAATATTGTTGTTGTTAGGGTTGTTGTTACTAATACCACCATTCTGCACAAAATTCAAGATGTTTTTGTTGTATGTTTTGTTTGTGAGCAATTTATTACAATTTCAGAATGACAAATAACCAAAAACTCAACATATTTTTTGACTTGCAATTCTTAAAATTCTTGTGTTGGTTGACAAAATTATTGTAGTTATTTATAAACAGACCCGCGACCCAAAAAGGAAGAGGCTGGTAAAAGATTATGGATAGATGGATGGATGGATTTATAACATAAAAATGTAATCACTCTTATACACTAACTGACAAAAAGCTAAGCACCCAGAAGGAATTGTGTCCACAAGAAGATCAGCAAGGGGTAAGTAAATTAATTTGCAAAGAGTTGTC